GATTCAAGAATGGTACAGTACAAGTAAACATTGTGATTGTGGAGTTGACTATGACTGAAGGAAGACCCTCCGACTCCTCAAGAAAGTCTCCATCTTCCCTTTAGGCCCCCAAATACTCTTAGGGAGACCACTTCACCTGAAGAGACTTGAGAGTTTTCTCGGTCTTTTTGTCTTCTCTGATGATAACGAGTCGCTCTCCTCTTTGTCGGACACTTGCTGACTTGGTTTCACAATAACTTTCAGAAGATCACTCATAGATTTGTCAGAGTCGAAGCTATGTTTTCCTTCTTGAATCTCCTTCACAGGGATGTCGTTGTGTTTCACTTTCTGAGTCTCCTTTGAACGGTTCTTTGAACTCTTTTGCTTAGGAGGCTCAGAGACTGGTGCTTCTGTGCCATGCTTGTTACTCTTTTGGACTACAGGCTGATGCTGATTCTTTGCTGGACCAGAGAGACTTTCCACAGTCTCTTGCTCACCTAATTTTGACCTCTTTGAAGTCTTTGGCTTTGGCGCCTCGGAGACTGGAGCTTCTTTGCTGCGTCGTCTTTTCAGCTTTTGGACTACAGGCTGATCTTGATCCTTTGCTGGACCTGAGAAGGTTGGATCTNGACACAACTGAGTCTTTTGGTCGTTCTTGTGCTCACTGTCTTCTCTCATACTCTCCAAAATCATTTGCTGAGCCTTAGAAACAGATGATGCCTTTGAGCCATGGACTGGAGCTTGACCGTTGTTATCCTTCTTTGACGGTTTAGAAATGACCAACTCAGTCTTCTTCTCCATGATGATTTCTGGAACAACTTGATTTCTGACGCTCTGTTCCTTCTCGACTGAATTTGGCTGTTCGATGATAGTGTCCAGAATGATTTTACCAAGAACAAATCCTGTTTCGCATGGATTTCCCTTTCCGAGTGAGACATAGTCAATAGAGAATCCCTCTTTTTTGCTTTCATAAGATTCCACATCATTCAATCTCGCAAACCACTCTGCTACCTCTCTCCCCTTTTTCTTTGGTACAAACACCTGAGAAACCACGTGAATGGTGAATAATCATAACGTTAACTGTTAGACTAAGAAAAATTGAAGCAGCGATTTGGGGATATTAGGAAAAGACATTAGCAAAATCTTAAACTGAGAATAAATGTCTTAACACAATGAATCCTATCGTAGCAAAATGCACAATGTACTTACCAGACCAGAGCATTTAAAATCCGGGTATAGGCATAGGGCTTCCCGAAGAGCCTCCATTTCAGTCAGAACATATCGAGTATTTTTTAGTAGATATGTGAATTCTGAAACTGCTTCTGCCAGACCTTCATCAGATATCTTTCCCGAAGATTTAGATAGCTCAGGAGCGTCTCCAGGTACTGAATTTTCATGTTCTCTAGCAAATTTGACAGCTTTGCTCCAATCTCTATGGTAGAGCAGTGAGGCGAAAACGCGCAGTACAATAGCCTCTTGAGGGTTACGCACTAGTGCAGTGTGAAAAGCCAGCACTGCAATCCTGTTCAAATCAAATCATGACATTAATCAGAGCTTACTGAAGAGAAGGTTCATATTTCCTATAAAAATAACGAAATAACGCACCATAGTCTGGAGTCGGCAGGTCGCTCGCAGGAAACCAATTTATCCATATTGGAGAATAACCTCTGAAACATCAATAAACCAACTCAGAACAAAAAAAGAATCATAGAAAAGCTCCTTGCATAACGATACCACATACCACTAGCATTAAGGAACTCAATTGAGATGTTTTACTAGCTTGATCCATGTAAGCTGCCTGAAATCCAAATTCATCTAAGTTAAGAGTCAACAAAAAAAAAAGAGTTAAAGAGACTGACGAATAAGCAAATGGCATACCTGAAAAGGAAGCAAAATGTGAAGTAGTTTGAACTTCATGAGAAGGAGGATTGAAGGCGCAGCAGCTCCATACGCAAGCATATAATTCATTTCCATGACTAATCTAAACTGCAACAAAGGAAGAGCATGATTGTAATAGCTAAGATCGTTAATCTATTTCTACAGATATTTAAATTCAAGCAGTCAAAATACCTGTCCCACATTTGCAACAGAAGATACAAATTCAGGTATCGCAGTCTCAATATCCTTTGAAAGTGACAGACCCAATCGAGCTGCAATTCTTAACCCCCTGAGAATTCTAGCTGTTTTGAGGGGAAAAAATGAGATAATGGTTAGACACAAAACTAAGTAAAGTATCTCGTCCAGATAGAAGGCTGTGAGGAGAATAAATAAGGCATACCACAATCTTCTTTGAATGACAAATGTGCAGAGACAAGTGTACGTAGCTGCATTCGCGTTGGTAAACAATGGTTAATACCATACACAAATAAATTCAAAAAGAGTAAGCAAAGTTAGTCACCTTCAGATGCTTTAAGTCTTCCATTCCATTGGTGTAGTCATAAATCTTTAATTCATAGGGATCATAGAACAAACTGCACGTAGATTTAATACCACAAGTAAGTTGAGTTTTAATGATGCAGCCAAACAAACCACAGTTCCTTTGCTACAATACAAAGGCATACGTTTCAGAAACTAAACCTGTTAATTGTGAAATCCCGCTGCAAGCTATTCCTCCAGCGACTGCAGTCTTTTACATCACAACCCGAATACATTTTCAAGAAGCTGCTATTCTTGTTTGCCTCTGTATTCTGGGGAACAACATGGTTCTCTACGGACTTCCCCAAATCATCTTCATGCTCACCATCACTTTGTGCGACAGTATCAAAACTGGACACCTATAAGAGAAAGTGTCAAGGAAACACACAAAAAGAAAAATGCCAGAAGCATATAGGAACCTAAAATAGATAATAAAAGCACAGCTCTTAAACTAGACAAAACCTATGTGGAGGCCATAAAACTGACCTCAATTATCGAACCTCCCATCCACACGTGACAAATAGGAAACCGTTTCCCAATAACCTGAGCACGATAAAACAGCCCCCGGACCTATATAAGAAAATAAACAGATAAGCGAAGCAGTAATCAAAACATAATGTCCTGAACAAGTACCATTATCAGATAATCAATCCACTAAACCTGCTTAAGATTAGCTGTAGTGATCACATCGTAGTCTTTTGGCACTCTATGCAGTATCAAATCCCTTACACATCCACCCACAAGGTATGCATCAAAACCTAAAACAAGGAAAAAACAAATACTTCAGCTTTTTCTTATTCTTCTACATCAATGCTAACATGAAAACCTTGAAACATCCAGAACACAAACCTTGACGTCTGAGAAGTCTCAAGACATTCAAAGAAGATTCAGGAATCATTGAATTTCTAATTCCAGCATCACTTGCTCGTACCTTCTTCCACTTAGATGTATCAACTGTTACACAAAAACAAAAAGGAACAACCTTTAGCTTGATACAAACCGAACCAGCTAAGTAGTATCACAAACAAAAACACAAGAGCACCTGAAGTTATGTCTTCATCAATAACTTGAAGAATGGTAGAACACTTCTCCATGACTCCCTCAGCAATCGTGCAATTACTCCTTTGCAACTAGAGACCAGAAGAAACTCGCAGATGAAGTCTTCGACCAATTGCCGCAGAGAGATTAACAAACCAAAACGAGAGAGTCCGAAGAGAGAAAATGACCCACCTTGGAGTAGACCGCGGCTAGGGTTTGAGACCGAAAGAATAAGTTTGCTCTGCGCTTAATGAAACCCGTCATGGCAAAGACTCGAAATCATGGCTCTTTAAGCAACTATCATGGTAGAGAGCTTGTTCCGTGGCGCAAGAGTCGCTACTTTTTAGGGTTCATTGGCAACTATCCCGACTGTACTCTTCTAACCTACCGAACCAGAGTTCACTACCGGTTCGGTCAGAATACCGATACCGGTTTTTCGTTTTGTATCGCTTAACCGACATTTTACAGTTTAACCAAGGCTAACCAATTATCGATCTAAATTATCTAACCCCGGTTCTTTGGGTATTGTTCAGGCTCAATTTTACGGACTATCTCAGTCACTTGGATGCAATGTGCTGAATATCGGACCGGACTCGGTGTAGTCATTGGTTGTAAATCTTGTACAACACTTCTTTAAAACATCAATTTGGTCGGTTCAGCTACATTAGCCATTGTTGGAGCTATGAATGTAATAAGAAGAAGATAATGCAACAAGCTTACTGTACAGTTAAACATTTGGTTAGGCAATTACATGCTCTATAGTTTCAGCACTTGATGTCTTAGGGAGGAAAAATCATGGAAGACATGTGATTCTAAGGCCTTAAATTATTCCGTAAAATCAATGGTGCACACACACACATGATATGCATATCCCTGGTCCAGATTTATCAAGCTCACCAGCAAAGACCCTATCAAAAGGGGCCTTATATCATATTAGTAACGGCAAGCTTCTGGGAGCACAAATCAAGAAGTACATCTAGAACATACTGTTCAACTCTGTTTCAGTTACCCTGTCTTTCTTCATACAAAAGAGTAAGATGTTAACAACAGTGATAAACCGAATTCGAAGACACAGCTTGCAAGAGAGACTAAACTCTCAAATTAGATCACAAGAGCTTTCAGGATTCTATAGTGTACAAAACAAATACATGAAGTGAACAGTCTTCAGGATGAACTTTGTCAAACGTTTGTAAAATACATTACCTTCTATGTAAATCCAAGTTTCCTTTTAATAGTAGTATACTGCAAGAACATAAAAGCCAAAACAAAAAGAGTTTTCGAGGGCTTTTGTATTCCTCACTAAAGTCTCCTCCAGGACAATCACACTTGTTTCTTCTTCTTCTCCAAGTATGAATGGCTTCTCTGGAAACCCAGTATTGCCCAGACCAGATGCCTCAGGCCAATCTCAGGCCACAGAGCAGCCGGAGAGAAGAGCTGAGAATTACCTGTTTGCCATAAGAGAAAATTGCTCAGTCTCGTCTCTCCTGAACTGCGGATCACTATGTCAGGATCTGGAGCCACGCTCATCTGCATATTCTCCTCAATATCAACCAACTGTATCCTCTTCTCCTGTTCCTCCATATCCATTCCCTCTATATCACTATCTGTGTCGTCATGTTTATAAATACCAGATGCGTCAATATCATTTGACTTGCTTATACAAGATTTCTTAACAGCTTGTACTATCTCATCTGTCGAGGTATAGGCAATGCAGACAAGAAGCACAACCCGACTATTCTTAGCTGTGGCCTTCATGACGTCTTCTGCAGCAGCTCTCACTTGATCACTCAGAAGTGCCAAGTTACCGATAAAATAGACCCGCATCCCGTATTGATGTACAATACTCTCTTTCTCAAGCAAAGCCTTGATCTTTTCAAGCAACAAATCCATTAGAGACTGAACCTCCTCAGGTTTTCTTCTAAAATTATCTATACTAAATGCGTATATCGTTACATACTTGATACCCAGTTCGTAGCAGTATCGTAGCATCGACATAAGGGCAGAAAACCCAGCTTTATGACCAGACCCTTCTTCTTGACCGCACTTCTTTGCATATCTCCGGTTTCCATCCATGATAAAGGCAAGATGATTGGGTAAAGGACCCATAGATATAACCCGAAACAAACATCGTCTTGAATACCCGCATACCCGCTCGAAAAATTGACTAATTCCACCGCCCGTACAGCTTATTTGACCCGGAACTTCAGCCATTTGAGATTCCACCTTCCAATATCCTCAGCTATGCCTCTAAGGGAATGCAAAAACATTCAAAATTCTTATGAATAAATGGCGAAAACGCAATATATCACCAGTGTTCAACATATCAGTTATTATGTTTTCCAAACGTTAGGGGAAGAAATCTAATTCCTTTATCAAGAAACATAAGTCCCCACTCGAAAAAACAAAAGAGTTTTGTCTGTTCACACAAAACCCCAAAAAAATGGCAGAAACTCATGGAATTAAACTAACCCTAAAAAAAATGGCAGATCCTCATTCACTATAGATCAGAAGGTGAACAGAAAACCTGTAAAGTTACATGCTTTCGAATTTCGGAAAAAAAAAACCCTCCATTGATGGATCAAAAGGAATCAATCCCCACAGATTCAGAGAGCAAGGCCCAATATTAACAATACCCAGAAACGCGAGAACACTTCAAAATCAATAGTAAATACAGGAAAAACTGTTAAAACTGCTATATAGTTCGATCATACCTGAGAAATAAGCGAGATTGAAGAAAGAAAAAATCCAACTGTAGATTAATTTGCGAACAAAAGCTCTTCGGCCTATGGATCGAAAAGAGATGAAATCTCTTCCTTGCAAATAGTTGACGGCGCGACCGAGATTCTTTGTCGAAGAGCTGTGACTGTGAAGAAGAGAAAGAGAGGAATATTTTACACTGGGTGGAAAGAACCGGAATCAATTAAGAAGGACAAAACCAGTGAAACCCGGTTTATCTTTTAATTTAAATGCCTTTTCGGTTTAAGTTTAAGGTTCGCTACAAAGAAAGCATCAAAGCAACGTTTCAATCCGCTTTTTACGATTTATGAGTTTTCTATTTTCTTTTCGTCATCTCGATTTATGATTTTTTTTTTTTTACTAAATTTCGAATCCTTTTTTATTGATCTAAAAAGTCACAAACTCCATAAAAAGTCTAACAAAAACTAAATGATAAACACCCTCCATGAGATAACTAATAAAACTGGTCAGAAGTGATTTTCATTGCANGGATAAATCCTAGAGGAGAACTGACCAACACCATATGCACCATATGCGCATCAACTTCATATTTAAGCTTTTCATACATGCCGACTGATTGTCCCACTCCTCCAGCAAGCGCAAAATTAACAAAAGTGGATCTGGTAGTTTTGGCATCTCTGATTTTGTCGAGAAAATCAACCCGCTACAAACAAACAAATGATGCAAAATCGATTTATGATTTTTCAATTACAATTATTATGATTATTGTTACAAGAATAATTATATTCAAGATAATTTTATCCTACTTTTTACAAATCCACAAATTTTATATGACTTTAAGTTTATTTTTTAAAGTTAACTAGTTAAAAAATTATTTAAAAAAAACTAAAATTATGAAAACTAGTTAAAAATTTAAGTAAAACTATTTATTTTTGTTATAATAGTGGTTGTGGTAAATTACGATTTATCCTTTGGGGGTTTTTAGCATTTGTCTTCCATAACTATTGAGACATGGCTTGCTAATTTTTACTACAAAAGTTGGATAGAGTGGCTCTTGGTTTTCTAAATCCTTTTCTTTCTCCTTCAGATTTTCCTTGACAATTATATTTTTCTACATATCTTACATGTATTGCATTAATGTGCTCTATCTCTAGCTATTTAGATAATATAATTTATCTAGCTTCTTATGATGAGATCAACAAGAAACATGAAGAGGTTAGTAAGATTTATAGTCTCAATTTAGACAATTCTTAAATTTGTTAAACTAACTTTGTCTTCGGTTAGGCTTGTTAGCGATAACCCTTTGATTATTCTATATAAGTTCACTTATTTTCACTTAGTTACATATAAGTTTCACATAATTGTTATTCTTTTTCAAATATCCAAAAAAGCATATTGTACAGATTTAGTACTATTATGAATCGGAGTCAATGTTTTTCAAAGATACAATCCAAAAAAAAAAAGGACATTTTGACAAAGAAAAAAGAAAAAAAAAAACGAGGATACAAAAAAAGAAAAATATGATAGAGAAAATCAAAAGTAACCTCTTCTTTTCTCTCGTTTTGCTTCATTAGAAGACTTTGTTTATTTCACATCATATTTCATACTTTCATAAGATGGAAACTATCTTAAAGTCTTAATTTTATAATACTTTTATAAAGTCTTAACTCCAAAAGTGACTCCAAAAGTGAATACAAAATACACAAACATATGAACTAATAACAAAGAAGAATCATACTTTGTTTTGGCTGTGGAAGATTTTAGATAAAATCTAGCTCCAACAACGTTGATTGAATCACAGGATATTCCAATGAACCCTACAAATTTTGGTTCGAATCTATTTTTTGGCTTCAACATGTACTTCTTGCTATTACTATTCACGGTACCAAGCACCTCAGATCTTGGATCTGAGGTTTACAAGCTCATTTGTCATCATTTGAGGTTTCGTTGAAATAAGACTTCATGATATAATCACCGTTGTGATGTATTCTTCTGGATATTCTACTTCAAACTCAACCCGAAGATGAAAGCAATTGTAGCTAAATAAACGAAACAAATAATTATAACTTGTTTGAAACATAAACGCATTGCTTTATCAAATAAAAGAAAATATAAATGTATTGTTTCTCTAAAGTATGATGAACATTCAAGTGTAGAAGAAAAATATATGTTTGTGGAATTTCACCTTCTAAAAAAAGTATTGTTGAAGAAATTACAAAGAAGGTAGAGGAGGTATTGGAATTTTTTTAAAGAATGGATGGTTGGTATTGAAAGTTTGAAACACATGGATTGGTATCACTCATTGATTTCACCATCTAATCCGGTCTAAAGTATACACTCATTGATCTCAGTAACTTGATACCATTGTTTTTGAAAAAAAAAACTATGGAAAGAGAAATTAGGTTCAATAACACAAAAAAAAATTATAATTTAAAATCTAACCATTTGTCATAATTTTATTGGATTTGATTAAACTATATAGACTCATTTAAATTAGT